CACAGGGCTCAGCTGGGAATCTGTGTCTGCTGCTCTCCCAGTCTCTGTCCTGCCAGGGGTGCAGGGACTTCACGGGGCTTCCCCAAGGGCAGAAAGCAGGAACTGCTCCTCGCCCCCCCCCCCCGCAAAATTCCAGGCTCTCCAATTAAACCATAACAACTTCTTGCAAACTATTTGCATAAGGGGAAGAGATCATTCCTGCCTATTCAGGTGTGGTTGTAACAACTGTATAAACAGACATAACCAAACAGAGCTGGGGATCTGGCCCCATCAACTGCAGTGGAGTGATGGCTAATTTCACCAGCTGGGGATCTGGGGTCAGTGATTTCAGTGGAGCTGCCCCAGTTCACACCAGCCTGGGATCTGGCCCCACTCTGTCTACATGGAACTGACCCCAGTCCAGCACATGCCTCTGTGTGTTTGTCAAGTGCTTTGGGATCCTTCAGATGACAATCCCTGTAGAGAAACCGGGGCTGTCCTAGCACTGTCAGCTCTAACGACCCTGCTGTGCAGGGCTGTGTCTGGGCAGACAAACACCGACACAAGCCAGCCCGAGTAACCCGACAATTCTCTCCACAGGCAAACCTCGAACCCAGACCCCACGGGACGGGACGTCAGTGAAAAGAAACAGAACAAGGATGATTCAGTGACCGGGAGTTGATTTGGTCAGCGCCTGCTAAGGCCTGGTTGACCCTGGGGATAAAAGCAGTGTCAAGGGAAGCTTTGAAACATTTCATTTGAACACAGCCCAGACCCAGCCTGGCTGGTCGGGGTATTCGGGCAAAACTCACCATCCAATTATATTGGAAAGGAGTTTTTCTTGATCACCTCACGTAGCCAAACCGCGCCTGAGCTGTAATCGAGTGAGCTGCTCTGAAACTGTCCTTACGAAGGGCTCTGCCGGCACCGCCAGACCCACTGTGAACAGGCCTCAGTTACCGGTGGCTGCAGAACGGTGGTTCAGGTGAACAAGTCGCCCGTTTTGGACTCCATGAGTCGTTCAGAGAGAGAGAAGATGGGGAACGGGTCGTATCCTGCTGAGAAGATGAAGCCAGAGCCAGGCCTGGGTTCCCAGGAAACCCCATTGAAACAAAAAGTAACAACTTATGTGCCCATCCCTCCAAAGGGTGGAGAGAGCAGCAAAATCTGCTCTACAGGTACAGCTGCCTCTCTGGGGTCTTCTTACCCTTCCCCTTTCTAACCCGCATTGACTCAGTGAGGGCCTTTATCTCCCTCTAGTGGCCGGTCCCTGTAAAAGACACAAGTCAGCCACATCCTTCAATGTACTATGGCCTTTAGCCCAGGCAGGAGCTGTCTGTGTCTTTCCATCCAGAGGTCCCTGCTCAGTCCCTGCATATTCACCCCACTTCCTCTGTCAGTGCTAGACAGGCTGGTCAACTTCCATCAACGT